TAGTTCAAAAAAGGAAAAAAATGTTCCTTGATTGAATTAAGGTGTGTACTTATGAATTTCATGCTTAATAAAATCACAAACTAATTTATTTAAATTTGAGAAATGAATTAATTATTTTTTAAATTAATTATTTATTTTTCAACATGTATTGATCGTGTTTAATTTAATATTACTTTATTTTAAAAAATAATTTTTTTCTCATCAATTTTTTCACAATATCTATTTTATTTATTGCTTTTTTCCATTTATTAAAAAAAAATCAAAAAATAACATAAAATAAACAAAATGGACGAAGTAATTAGTTTTTTAAATAATAAAAACAAATTAATTCATTTTTCAAAATTAAAGGGACTAATTTATAATTTACTCATAAAATCATCATGATAAAAAAAATGTTCCTTGATTGAATTAAGGTGCTTGCATCTCCCATGAGAGTAATTAAATTGGAAATGCCATTCTTAATGTGCAGTTCAAACACTTCGATCTTTCGTTGAACTACAAAGGTTTGATATTTTTAAGATTTTTTTTTTTTTTTTTTTGAACTGTTGAACAGCAAGTACCTTATACGAATTGTCAATCGCAAAATGATAAAATAATTGCATATTAGATCACCAAATTAACTGCATTACAGAAAAATAAAAATAATAATTGGATCTTTTATTGCATTTTTAAGTACTTAGATTTCATCCCCATGTTTCAATGATTCCCTCTCTAGTGATTTGGCTTTGATGGAAGATCTTTCGAAATACTCTGGAACTCCACGTTCCATAACCTTAAAAAAGAAAGCACGATAAGTTTAATCACTCTTGTCATTAATAAATTATTTATTCTAAAGAAAAGTTGTAAAGAAGAAAGTTTTAGGGAAATAGATTAGTTTGTTATTATATAATAAAGTAAGTTTTTAATATATCATTATATTTTTAATTAACCTTATTTATTTTTATAAAATGATCGAGTTTCTGATCTATCTTATTATTATTTTTTTATCTAAAATAACAAAATTAGTCTTAAATGTAGCTTAATATTATGATAAAAAAATGATTCTGAATTCTATGAACATGTTAGATATATGCAAAGCACGTTATAAACAGAAGAAATTTTTTTTGTGAAAAGTTCGTACGAAACTAGATCTTTCTTCCTCTCCCAAACCTGCATCTCCTCTTTTCTCCTCTCCTTCCCTCTCTAGTGATCTCTCTCTTTTTCCATCAAGATTGCAATTTTTTATATATAAAAAGTTATATGTATGACCGATTATGTTAATTTAAATAGAAAAAATTAATGTAAAAATAGATTAAAAAATTAATTATTTTATAAGAATAAAACCGATTTAATTACAAATATAAAATTTATTAAAAACTCACTCATTATATAAAAACAAATTAAGCTATTTTACCAAAACAAATATAAATACATCAATCTAATTATAAACGGTGGATAAAATATAGTTTTGAACCTAACCGGTGAATTTCCTGGTCATGCTCTTGCCGGTCTTGTTAACCGAAGACTGGAGTTTCATATTAGAATCTTACGATGGGCAAGAAATTAATCCATTTGGGTTCTCCTCAAAAGGAATACCCCAGAACCCCAGAAAAATATAGTTTTAATTTGAGTAATTAATTCAAGAGTACTCTTGGTATTGAAATTTTAGGTTAATACCCTCGTTTATTCTTACATAACATATAATAAGTCAAAATTTAATCTGTCTTTAAATTCAAAAACGCTTCTAATCTATCCATTTTATTTGAGCATGTTTCTAATTTATCTCTAAGGTCAAAATTTTCAGCCAACTCATCAAAAATTAATTTTTTTATTAGTAGATATAGATCATTTATACTAAAGAATAAAAATAATTTTGTAAAATCACTTGTTTAATTTAGCTAAAAAATTTAAGTAAAATATTATATTAAAAACCAACTCAAATAAAAATGGTAGATTGTAGGCTTTTTTAGATTTAGGAAGAAATTAAAAATTTGACCTGTTATATGAGGATAAATTAGGATATTAATCCTAAAATTTAAAACAAAAAACAAATAGATTGCAAAAATGCTTATTTTTACAAGCATCACTCGATTCTAGAGTTTTGATTCAAATAATAATCGTGTTGAATTGACTATAAATCTATCTGAAATTTCATCTTTTTGATATCAGATAAGTTTATATCCAAATTACTCATAGTAAAAAAAATAAAAATAAAAACATTTTCTTAACCATAATAAGTGCATGTGTGGTAAAGAAAATAACTATATCATAAATTGTAATTTAATCATGCTTTAGGAAGTGAAATACTTAATCTCAATTGATGTAAAAATTGATACGAATATATTTTATTATTTGTGTATATGTAAAAAAAAATAATGCTAAGAATGTGGAGATGAAGGTTGGAATCTCCGTTGAGAAGCATTAGATGTAGATTCAAATTTTAGGAATGGTGGGGTGAAAGTTTATAAACTCGAAAATAAAAATAGCTCATTATTTAGTGCACAATTCGTAATGAAAAAAAAATCACGATATAATTATATTTATCTTTTCATTTATATATTGAAACCGAATTCATTTTTAATTTGGCTTTAAGTAAGACATTCATACCAAAATTAATGTATTTTCTAAAAACTATTTTTCTTACAATATTCTCTACATTTTAAATCCTTTATGATAATACAGAGAATACATCAATTTATCATTTGATCTAAATCTTTCTCGTTGCTGATGGGAGATCTATTAATAATAATTAAGGTAAATATACTCATATGTTTTTTTTTATATAATATTCAAATTCTCTTATCTCGTTTCTAAATTTTAAATTAGATCGCATATATTTTTTTAAAAAAATTGAAATATGTAATCTGTTGTTCCAATCAAATTTTTCAACTATGATTTTTTTAATCAAAATGTCTTATACGAAAATGAAAAAAAAAAACAAAAAAAAATAAATAAAAACACTTAAATTCATGTAATCTACTTGTTTTATTTTCTAAGTCTTTAAAATTTTTATTTTTTATTTTTTTTTTGTATTTCAGTTAAGGATATTTTAGTTAAAAATTTTGTTTGGTTAGAAAAATTAATTACAATAATAGAATGAATATTTCAAATATTTTTAAAAATAAATAAAATATAAAAAAATTTAAGTATTATATAAAAAAAATGAATATATTTATAACAATAATTTTACGATATTCCACAAATTATTGAATAAATCCTCCAGCTGAAAATTTTATTAAAGTTGAAAAACTGCCCATATCTTTTGGCCACTCTCACTGTTTAACTGATTGAAGATTTTTTCTGCTTTTGGGGAAATTTATTACACCAACCAATAATCAAATCACACGTGTAACTGACCAAATCTTTTAGGCAAATCTAATGGTTCTGGTCCGCTTAACAGCCCTCGACACGTCAAGTTTAGAGAAAGGCCAAAAGTCGGTTAGGCGGCACCACAATTTGGAAGATAAAACAACAGGGCTCCTACAATTTCTTTTTCTTAAAAAGTTCTTAGGTTAATAGCCCTCATTCTTATTTATATAATAGGTCAATTTTTTAATTTATTTCTAATAAAAATATTTTATATCTGTTTTTATATTTTGAATTTATTTTTAGTATATCGTTCAGATTAAAATTTTTAATCAATTTTTAAAAATTAATTTTTATATTAATAGATATAAATACATATATCTACAATAGGTCAACAAAAGTTTTTAATAAACTATAAAATAGTCCTTCTAGTTTTTTTTTTAAAAAAAGAATCAATTAGTCTTTTTAATTTAAAAAAATAATTATTTAATTCTTATATTTTTAAACTTTCTTGTAGATCAATTTTAGTTCCTTTTCAATTTATTTTAATTTTTTACTTTATAAAATAAAAAAATAACTAAAAAATTGACCAGAAAATATAATATTTTTTGACCAGTTGAATTTTCAGAAATTAGTGAGTCTTTTGCCACCGGCTGCAATAGGTCAACAAAAGGGGCAAACCACATCTTTTTCCGATAAACCTCTTTTTTAGTGTCCTTGGTGCTTTCTTATTCTATCCAACTCATATTATACTCAAAATTGGTTCATATCAATTAAATTAAGTCTAAATATGTAAAACCATTTTTGAATTTTAAATCAATGAAAATTAATTCTTTGAATTTAAAACTGAGTTTTGAGAAATTTTAATTTTTTTTTAAATTTGGTTCATTTAGTGATTTTTAGCTATCATCCTTATCTCTAAAAAAATTAATTATTTGTATTTTGAGTTGAAGGTTTGCACACTAGTTGAAAAAAATACAATCTATTTTCTAAAATAAATCTCAGAACTTTTGAAAATTAAAAAATATATTTATTTATTGAATATTTAAAATATAAAAAATTAGAAATAAAAAAATAAATAAAACAATCTAGAACGATGCTCAATTTTTTGAAAAACCCTATATAAATCTCACCAAATGATTTTCATCACAAAGATATTTATGTGATTTTTATTTTTTGGATAAAAAACTACAAAAAATTAAAAAATAAATAAATTTTAAAAAATTAAAAGTTCAGAAATCTCAAAACATGAAGTTCAAAGATTCAATTTTTTTATGAATTAAAATTTAGAAAAGTTTTGACCAATTCAGCCTTAAATTAATTTAATTGCATGTTATATTATCCATTATTTTTACTAATTAATAAAGCAATTACAGACAAAGAAAAGCTACATACATTCAATTTTTTAGAAGATAAAAAAAATAGACTGATTATGCTATCAACTGCTTAAAATCATTGGTCATCTGGACATGTCAACCTTCATGATTGAAGGGAGATTTGGGCGAGAATAGTTTCACAGGCCTGAAGCTTTTCCACCTGCTGTACCCAGTCATTGAGCTTTAAGGGCCCCGCTTTTCACGTGCAGGAAGGACAAGGCTGGAAGAAAAGATTTGTTAGTTTTTTACATGAAAAAAAAATTAAGAATGGAGTGCTGGATTTTGGCAGAAAATGTTGGCGATGGAACGGGTAACTGGCAGCAAACCGTCTGAATCTGATTATGGTTGCATGTTGGATGAAAGTAATCCATGGGCTGAATGATTGGGCCCATGATTTTTGGGCAGGCTTGACACGTCAATAAATTGGAGTGTATTAAGAGAGTTATATGGATCTCTTGTCTGGTAAAAGGTTAAATTGTAAAACAACTCCACAACTTTAGTGAAAAAACAAATATTTTTTAAAACTAAAAGAAAAAAAATGTATTTTTTTAAATAAAATGATATTTAGAAAAAAATTTAGAATTTTATTAAAAAAATTAACGAAAAAACTCTTAAAAATCCTCGGTCCTCTTTTTTCTTTCTCTATAAGTAAACATGTATTTCTAAATTGGTAGGAAAAAAGATAAAAAATTGAAATTTTTTTATAGATTTTGCCCTCAGTTTGTCAACGAAACCCTAACAAAAGAAGTAAATTCAAAAACTCATAGAGTATTATATATATATATATATATATTAGATGGATATTTTCAAGTTCCGAAAAAATATTTTACAATTTATCTTTAATAAATAATCGTAATTTGGTTATCATAATATTGGTTAAAAGAATGGTGGCTTAGCTCTATAAACACGCCATGCATACACAAAGCGTGAGTTAAATAAGAGAATTTTTTTAAAAAAAATAAACATCACATGAAAATATATCTTTTTGCCTCTCTAAAGCCTCCATCTCCTCTCTAAAACTATATTATTTAGACAGAAAAAAAAAAAAAAAAAGTTTAGATGGATATTTTCAAGTTCTGAAAAAATATTTTACAATTTATCTTTAATAAATAATCATAATTTGGCTATCATCATATTGGCTAAACAAATGGCTGTTAGCTCTATAAACACGTCATGCAATTTTTGGTATATATTAAGTCGTGTATATGACCGATTATGTTAATTTACACTGAAAAAATTAATTAAAATATATTAGAAACTCAGTTATTTTATAAAATAAAACTGGTTCAACTAAGCATATACGGTCTTATTAAAAATTTATCACATTATATAAAGGCAAATTAAATTATTTTTCCCAAAATTTTTGTGAATAAATCAATCTAATTATAGATAGAGTGTCGAAGATCCAATAAAAGAGTGACTTAGTAATTAGCATCAATAAGTGAAAGTCGCAAAGATGCGATATGATGCAGCATGAGCATATAAAAAATCAGCCGACCTGGATTTGCATTACTATCATTCATTTGTTTTACGCTTGCCATGGTGACCCACCGTGGCTTGGGCTTTGAACCTTACTGGTGCATTTCCGGGTCATGCTCATGCCAGTCTTGTTAACTGAAGACTGGAGTTTCATATTAGACTCTTACTAGAAATCAACCCATTTGGGTTCTCCTCAAAAGGAATAACCTGAAAATTTTAGTTTTAATTCGTGTAAATTTAGTTTTAGGAATAACCCTTGAATTTAGTCTTAATTCAAGAATACTCTTGGTATTGAAATTTAGGGTTAATAGGCTCAATTATCCTTATATAATAGATTAATTTTTCAATATATTTCTAAATTTAAAAACATCTCTATTCTATTCCTATTCGAATCGTTTTCTAATCGATCTTTCCGGTAAAATTTTCAATCAATTCATTAAAAATTAATCTTTATATTAATAAATATAAATCGCTTGTATTAAAAAACAAAGACAATTTTGTCAAATCGCCCGCTTAATTAAACTATAAATTTTAACTAAAATGATAGATTAAGAATCAATTCAAATAAAAGGAACATATTGAAGGCATTTTTAGATTTAGAAACATATTAAAAAATTGACCTATTAGATAAAAATATATAATAATAGACGAGGATATAAACACAAAAAAAAAAAAAAAAAAACTATAAAAATGCATCTTTTTAGAAACATCACTCGAGTTTGGATTTTTGCTTCAACTGATAATAATGTTGAATTGACTAAATATCTATCGAAAATTTCATCCTGTTGCCATCGGATAAGTTTAGATCTAAATTACTAGTCATTAAAAAAAAAATCACCGTATAGAATTGCATGTTTGCGTGCTTGTATTAGGAAAATAGTGCTAATATTCTATTTATTTTTTTTATTTGTATATTGAAACCGAATTCATTTTTAATTTGGATTTAAGTCGAGTGGTGTTTGATAACCTAATTAAGTAACTTAAAAAATTAAGTTATACTACTTAATATAAAAATCTTGTTTGATAACCTAAATGATCTCATATTAAAACTTTAAATTCGATTAAAATCTACTTAATCGGACAAGTTAAAATTTTTAACTTATCCGATTAAGTCAAACTATCTAAAACACTCTCTCTCTCTCTCTCTCTCTCTCTCTCTCTCTCTCTCTCTCTCTCTCTATATATATATATATATATATATATATCAGAATTTATAAATTATAATAATATATTTTTAAAAAATAAAACATCGACATTATAAAATTTTATTCCAAAATTCATATATTAAAAAATCAAATTTATTAACAAATAAAATTATATCAAAAATTAATTTGATGAGAATTTTAGTTAGAAAAAAATAATTAAAAAAATAAAATTTAAATAATAAGATTAATCTAATCATATACATATGTTCAAACTAAAATCTTAAAAAATGTCATATATATTCTATCATCTTCAAACATGCTTATTATATTCGAGTACTTAATTTTCGATAAATATCAAACAGACTTGTCGAAACATATTCGAGTACTTAACAGATTCAACACTTAAAATTCAATGCTTAATAGATTCGAGTACTTAATTTTCAGCTTTATCAAACACCACCTAAGACATTCATACTCAAATTAATCTATTTTTTTAAAAAAATTATTTTCTTATAATATTCTTTACGATTTGAATCCATCAATTTCTCAGTCGATATATTAATAACAATTTTACCTAAAATGGTGAAGGATTCAATATGCTACATATTATTGAATAAATCCTCTAGCTGAAAATATTATTAAAGTTGAAAAACTGCCCATATCTCTTGGCCACTCTCAATATTTAACTGCTGCAAGATTGTTTCCAGCTTTTAGGCCAGCGGTATAAAATTCACGTGGGCCTGACAATTGTCTACTTATGAAACTATCCAATACTCAAAGCACACGTGTACCTCACCAAATCTTTTGGGCACATCTAACGGTTCTGATCCGATTAAAAACCCTCCACTCGCCAAGTTCAGTGAAAGGCCAAAAGTGGCTTTTTCTCTTATAAAGAGACGCGCCACCACAATTTGGCAGACAAGACGGAAGTGATATTGCAATTTCTTTTCTTAAAAAGTTGTTTATATATATATATATATATATTTTTTTTTTTTGATCAATCAAAAATAAATTTACTATTTTTTTAAACTAAAATAAAGTCATAACACATAATCTTTTATCCATTACTTAAAAAAATTTATTGATACGTCAAGTTGTTTTTCTTTATCAATATCCTCGTATGTCTTTATATAATAAATTATTTTTTTAATTTGTTTTAAAAATTTTAAAAATACTTCTAATTTATTTTTATATATTGAGTTGGTTTTTAATCTATTATTTTAATTAAATTTTTTTGATTAAATTAAGCATGTTATTAATTCTATTTTGTTTAATAATTATTAATTTTAAAGAAGTTTAGATGGTTCTGTTATTTATGGATTTAGCTTTTGTTATTGAATAATTAATGATGTGTAATGAATTCATTTCATAAAAAAAATATGAAATTATTTTTTTCCTAAAATTAAAATTAATGTTGAAAAAAATATTTAATAATAATTAGTTTAAAAATAGCTTAGATGATTTTTTTATGAATTTTAATTTTATTGTTAGAAAATTAATAATTTTATTTTTTTCACATTCCATCACCGTGAAAAAAGAAAGCATGGCCAGAGAATATTAAAGGCAAAAAGCATTACAAGTTTAACCACTCTTATCGGTAATTTCAGCTGTCTTATGCAAATTATATTATTTATTCATATATTGTATGAAGTATAAAAACTTTTTATATTTTCTGACGTCGTCAATAATGTAATCTTTTTGTCTTATCTTTTTATCTCGATGTTTAAAATTTTAAGAAAAATTGTAAAGAAAATTTTTCTTACAAAATACATTAATCTCACTATAAGTGGTCCATTTAAAATCCAATAAAAAATGATTCAGTCTGGATATGTGAAAGCCATAAAAATAAAGAAAAATAAATACTATGTCATTATTATCGTTTGCTGTTGCCTTTTAGCACAAACTATATGTTATATTATCTGGTCTCTGACTTAAAAAATAAAAGTTTTTTTTATTAAAGTTGGAAAACTGCCCATATCTCTTGGCCACTCTCAATATTTAACTGCTGCAAGATTGTTTCCAGCTTTTAGGCCAGCGGTGGAAGTATCACGTGGGCCTGACAACTATTTACTTATCAAACTAACCAACAATCAAAGTACACGCGTGCCCGACCAAATCTTTTTGAGCAAATGTAACGGTTCTGATCCACTTAACAGCCCCCGACGCCAAAAGTCGTTTTTTCTTTTATAAGAGTTGCGGCACCACAATCTGAAAAAAAAAATAATAAAAAAAATAATAAAAATAAAAGGATACTGAAATTTTTTTTCATAGAAAGTTGTTGGTTAGTGTTTTTGCTGCTTTACTGTTTAAGGCAACTTAAATTACCTCAAAATTTAATTTAAGGGATGGTCTTCTATCCATCAAACATAACTCAAAAATATCTAATCATCTATAAATATAAAAAAAATAAATTAATATAACGACTTTTTTAAAACCAGTATTTTGCCCCCAGCTGCAACAATCTACAAATAGTCATAATTATTTTAAAAAAATATTAGATTTTGACTGATTTGATCTAAAAAATATTCTATTATCGATTAAAAATTAAATATGTTCTAACATTGACTTAGATTTAATCTTTATTGATGTAAAAACTAATTCAAAAATACTTAACCACATGTAAATATATATAAAAAAAAAAATTGATACAATGTTTTTTTTTTTTTAACGATTATTTTGCCACTGGGTGCAACAGATCAACAAAAGGGATGCTGCTACTTATTTTCTTAGAAAGGTTTTTAGTGTTCTTGATGCATTCTTACTCAATACAACTTTACACCCAAATTTTGATCCATATCAATTAAATTAATTTGATAAATTTTTTGTTTGGTCATAACCCAAAAAAAAAAAAAAAACATACCAATCCTCTCACATTGATTAAGTGTATATGTATTGTTGAATGTTATAAATACATAACATATGTATGTATTTGTAATTATTAGGAGATGTGTTTGCAGCTGTACATTAACCAATTGTCGATGTGTAGATATAGTATATATAGATAGTTAATGCATGTGAGAAGTAGAGGATTCAATACATTCTGGATAAACAATGATAAAAAGTTTCCCAAAATCTTTCTCTTAACATGACATAATAGTCTGGTTATTCTTCTTCTTCTTTCAAGCAAAATTGAACTTTGCTTCTAGCTTTTTCAAGCCAAATTAAACTTTGCTTGTAGTTCTTGTTAGATCAACTCAAATCTAGTATTTTCTCTTGAGAGATATGTCCTTCGTGGAAAATTCAGTTGACGATTCTAGCTCTTCGAGAGTTACTATTTCAATTTGAGATGTGAATGATCCTTTGTCTTTTCGTTATTTCGATACACGAAACCTATTCTTATTACACATTTATTCAACAAAAAAGAAGATTGCAGTTCATGAAGCTAGGCGATAATGATTTCATTGTAAGCAAAGAGCAAATAAATTTTTGTGTCCGACAAATACTCTATCTGTTTTTTATATAATATTCAAAGTCTTTCATCTTTTACTAAATTTCTAATTAGATCTCATATGTTTTTGAAAAAATTAAAAATGTTTAACATGTCATTCTAATCAAATTTTTCGATCATAGTTTTTTGATCGAAATGTCCTTTATTAAAATTTAAAAAAAAATTAAAAAGTCATGGGGCATGTTCCATTTTTTAAGTCATATATATACATAGAGAGAGAGAGAGAGAGAGAGAGGATATTTCGATAAAAAATAATTGATTGAGCCTCTCAAATATTTCGAGAGATAAATGAGATGCATTAGAATGTTTATAATAATAGTTTTACAATATTCCACAAATTATTGATTAAATCCTCCAGCTGAAAATTTTATTAGAGTTGAAAAACTGCCCATATCTTTTGGCCACTCTCAGTATTTAACTGCTGCAAGATTGTTTCCAGCTTTTAGGCCAGCGATGCAAAGTCAAGGGTGCCTGACAATTACATACTTATTAAACTGACGAATAATCAAAGCACACGTGCAACTGAACAAATCTTTTGAGCAAATCCAACGGTTCTGACTTCTGATCCGCTTAACAGCCCTCCACTCGTCAAGTTGAGAGAAAGGCCAAAATCGTTTTTCCCCCACTTTTATAAGAGATGCGGCACCGCAATTTGGATGATAAAACAAAAGGGATACTGCAATTTCTTTTCTTAGAAAGTTCTTCTTTAGTGTTTTTGATGCTTTCTTATTGAATGCCACTTAAATTACACCCAAAAATTTGTTCCATTTCAATTATTTTTTTTCTCTATACATCTTCATCTAATATTACAGATAAAATTAATTATATTTTTTAAAAAATCTAATTAATTTCAATAAATATGACTTCATAATTCATATTGATAGAAAATTTATTTGAAAATCAGTTCATTTACCACTAAATCAATAATTTATTGCTTCAATCAAAATAATTCGATCCGCTGTCATAGTATTATTAAGTTTAATCGTTGATAGAATGCCTGTTTATTTATATAAAAAAAAATGTTAGTTGTCGCTCATAGATACATATACATATATGTTTGAATATTATAAAATACATAATACTTGTTTTTTAAGTATATTTATTTAAAAATTAATACATGTATAATAAATTGTTTATGACCCTTATTAGCACGTACGTATGCGTGTTTGCATTTGTTTGCTTATTTAAGATAAAAAAATATATATATATAAAAAATACGGACATAATGAGTTTTTTTGTTTTTTAATGAGCCTTTTGCCACCAGCTGCAATAGGTCAACCAACAAAGGGATACACTGCATCTTTTTTCTCAGAAAGCTCCTTTATAGTGTTCTTAATGCTTTCTTATTCAATCCAACTCAAATTACACCCAAAATTGGTTCATATAAATTAATTTAAGTCTAAATATGTCAAATTATTTCTGAATTTTAAATTATTTGTACTTCAAATTTAGTTTTGTCAATTCATGAATTTTTTTTTTTTTGAGATTTATTTCATTCAATGATTTTCAATTATCACTTTTCCCTTGAATTTTTTTTTTTTTGGTTTTTAATATGAATTTTTGCACATACGTTGGAAAAAATTCAATCTATTTTCTTAAAAACAAATCTCAGAATTTTTGAATTCTTAAAAACGAAAAAGTATTTTTATTAATTATTTATTTAATATTAAAAATATAAAAAATTTAGAAAAAATAAAAAATAATTTAGAACGATCCAAAATTTTTTTCAGAAATCTCATATAAATCTCACTAAATAATTTTTATCATTGAGATATTTATGTGATTTTAATTTTTTGGATAAATTAAAAAAGATGGAACGCCTAACTGGCAGCAAAGTGTCTGAATCTGAACACAATTCCAAGTCTTCAGTTTCCTGGATTTTTTTTTTAAAAAAAAATGAGGCAGCAAACTGTCTGAATCGGATTATGGCTGCATGTTGAATGAAAGGAATCCATGGGCTCAATCATAATGCCCATCATTTTTGGGCAGGCTTCACACGTCAACAATTTTGAGGGTATAAGAGAGTTATATGGATCTCTTGTCGGGTAAAAGGTTTAAGTTGTAAAACAACTTCACAACTTTAGTTAAAAAACAAATATTTTTTAAAACAAAAAAAAATATTTTGTTTTTTAATTAATATGATATTTTAAAAATATTTTATTTAAAAAATTTACGAAAAAACTCTTAAAAATTCTCATTCCTCTTTTTTCTCTATTAATAAACATGTTTTTCTACCTCGCTAGAAAAAAAATAGAAATTTGAAGAATTTTTATAGAATTTACCGTCAATTCGTCAACAAAACCTTAACAAAGCGAGTAAATTAAAAAACGTATAGAGTATTATTTTGAAAGCAAAATAAATAAGTAAAATTTTAGATGGATATTATCAGTTTCAGAAAAAATATTTTACAATTTATCCTTAATAAATCATCGCAATTTGGTTTTCATAATATTAGTTAAAAGACGTATCCTATCATTGTTCAGAAAAGAAAAAAAAGTTATTTGCGATTGAATTAAGGTAATTGCATCTTTGATGTTTCAATGATTCTCTTAAATAAATTAATCATTATGCCATGTCTGCAATGATTTGGCTTTGATGGGAGATCTTTGAAAATATTTTGGAACTCCACGTTCCATTACGTGAAGGAGAAGGCATGACGAGTTTAATCACTCATGTCATCAATTTCAGCTGTCTTGAGAAAAAGTAAATTATTTATTCTTGTATAGTATAAAGTGTTGTTACTGTAAAAAAAACATGATTAAATAATAAAAATTAACATAATAAGTAAATAAATTTATTATAAATTAAGATGAATAAAACAATTGAAACTTTTTACTTTTATCGTCAAATAATTCATGATTAAAATCACATTATCATGTGTCATAGTATAAAAATCATCGAACCATCAAAATAGTTTTGCTATAATTTTTAAATAATTGACTTAAGACACAAACAGATTACTTTCTTGAGATGATATGTGTTATCCACGGTACCTATCTAATGTAACAGATTAAAAATATATTATACGTCATCTTAAAATACAACGAGACTCAATCATCTTAACAAATTTGTATTAATTATAAGACTTAAAACTTTAAATAAAATTAGTACCACTCTTATCAAAAAAATAGAATTAAAAAATTATATGACTTTTTTAGTGAGAGGCTAAAGAAACAAATATAAAAAAAAAATTTTCCTTCCTAAGCAAAGCAAAAACTTGGTGTAACATTTTTTTCTCAAGTACAGTACATATATATACACGGGCATTTGAAGTTGCGGTTTGAAGAATTTAATGTATTCGTTTAAAGAAATTAAAGGCTAATATAATGTACATTAAAACTCAATGAAAGAAGATTAAAAAATTCAATGAAAAAATGTTTCAAAATCAATGAAAAAGACCGATGGTCTTTTGTTTCAAAGGTAACTGTTTGAAATATTTTTTTCATTTATTATTATTTTTTAATATAGTTAATATCTTAATAAAAAATATTCCTCCAACCGATACATGCAGTATCATGTAGTATGAGCATGTAAGAACTCAGCCGACCAGGACTTGCATTATCATCCTTTGCCGTTGCCTTTTAGCACGAACTAAATGTTGAATACTAAGTTTCGAAGGATTGGTCCCTTCCAAAAAGGCCACCTGACAGCAACAATAATAGACCGCCGCTTGCCATGGTGATCCACCGTGGCTTGGGCTCTGAACCTAACTGGTGCATTTCCGGGTCATGTTCATGCCAGTCTCGTGAACCGAAGAAGACTGGAGTTTCATATTAGACTGTTACAATGGGCAAGAAATTAATCCATTTGGGTTCTCCTCAAAAGGAATAACCCTGAAAAAATTAGTTTTAATTTGTGTAAAGTAATTCAAGAATACTCTTTTTTAAGATTAATACCCTCGCCTATGTTTATACAATACGTCAATCTTTCAATCCGTTCATAAATTTAAAAAAACCTTCAATCTAAATCTATTTCTATTCGAGGTAGTTTTTAATCTATTATTATGATAAAAAATTTCAGCCAATTCATCAAAAATTAATCTTTGTATCAATATATATAGATTACTTGTGCAAAAATAATAATAATAATAATAATAATAATAATTTTGTCAAAACATTTATTTAATTAAGTCAGAAATTTTAACTAAAAGGATAGATTAAAAATTCACTCAAATAAAAATGATAAATTAGATGCGTTTTTAGATTTAGAAACAAATTAAAAATTTAACTTGTTATATAAGAATAGACGATGATATAAACCCTAAAATTTTAAACAAAAAAAGAGATTACAAAAATGCACTTCTTTAGAAGTATCGCTTGAGTCTGGATTTTTGCTTCAACTAATAATAATGTTTGGTTGACTATATATCTATCAAAATTTCATCTTGTTAACATCACATGAGTTTATATCTAAATTCTATCAGAACTGTTGAGCAGCAACTACCTTGTACGAATTGTCAATGGCAAAATGATATAATAATTGCATATTAGGTCACCAAATTAATTGCATTACAAAAAAATAAAAATAAGAATTGGATCCTTTATTACATTTTTAAGTACTTAGATTCCATCCCCATGTTTCAATTATTCTCGTAAATGAATGAATAATCTTCATGCCATGTCTGAAATGATTTGGCTTTGATGGAAGATCTTTGGAAATATTTTGGAACTCTACGTTCCATGACCATAAAAAAGAAACACGACCAGAAAATATTATACGCAGAAAGCATGACAAGTTTAATCACTCTTGTCGTTAATAAATTATTTATTCTGAAGAAAAGTTGTAAAAAAGAAAGTTTTAGGGAATTAGTTTAGTTTGTTGTTATATATTAAGGTAAGTTTTTAATATATAATTATATTTTTAGCTAAACTAATTTTATCCTTATAAAATGACCGAATTTCTGATCTATCTTATTTTTTTTATCTAAATAATAAAATTAGTCTTAAATATGGCTTAATATTGTGATAAAAATGATTCTGAATTCTATGAGCATATTAGACATATGCAAAACACGTGATGGATAGCAGAATTTTTTTAAAAAAAAAGTTCATACCAAACTAGATATCTCTTCCTCTCCTCTTTTCTCCTCTCCTTCTTTCTCTAGTGATATCTCTCTTTTTCCATGGAGATTGCAATTTTTTATATATATATATTAAGTCATATGTATGACCGATTATGTTAATCTAAATAGAAAAAATTAATATAAAAATAGATTAAAAAATAATTATTTTATAAAAAAAAGACTGAAAAAAAGAATGATGACTATCATCCTTTGTTGTTGCCTTTTAGCGCAGACCATATATTATATTATCTGGTCTGTGACTTAAAAAATAAAAGTTGATTACTAAGTTTCGAAGGATTGATCCCTTCCAAAAAGGTCACCTGACAGCAACGATAATAGACCGCCGCTTGCCATGGTGACCCACCGTGGCTTGTGCTTTGAACCAAACAGGTGCATTTTCGGGTCATGCTTTTGCCCGTCTTGTTAACTGAAGATTGGAGTTTCATATTAGACGCTTGCATTGGGCAAGAAATTAATCCATTTGAGTTCTCGTCAAAAGGAATAACCCTGAAAAGTTCAGTTCTAATTTGTGTAAATTAATTCAACAGTACTTTTGGTATTAAAATTTTTAGGTTAATACCCTTGCATATTCTTGTATAATATGTTAAATTTTCAATATGTTTTTAAATTTAAAAACGTCTCCAGTCTGTACACGTTATTTGAGTATGTTTCTAATCGATCTTTCTGTTCAAAATTGTCAGCCAACTTATCAGAAATTAATTTTCTTATAGGTAGATATAACTCACTTGTGCTAAAGCATAAAGATAATTTTATCAAATCACAAGTTTAATTTAACAAAAAATTTTAATTGAATTAATATATTAGAAATCAGCTCAAATAAAACGAACATATTGGAGGCATTTCTAGATTTAGTGACAGAGTAGAAATTTAACACGTTATATAAAGATAGATTAGGATATTAATTCTAAAATTTAAAACAAAAAACAAAGAAACTACAATAATGCTTATTTTTAGAAGCATCACTGGAGTTTGGAGTTTTGCTTCGGTTATTAATCTTGTTGAGTTGACTATATATCTATCTAAAATTTCATTTTACTAACATCAGATAAGCTTAGATCCAAATTACTTATCGTAAAAAATAAAAAAAAACATTTTTTTTACCATAAAAATTGCATGTTTGCATGGTTGTATTAGGAAAATAGCTACACCATAAATGGTAATTTAATAATGGAAACTAAGGTTCAGAAAATGATGAACTTAGTCTTAATTGATATAAAAATTGATTTGAAAATACTTTTCTACTTATATATATATGTATAGTGCTAAAGAGGTGGAGATGCAGGTTGGAATCTCTATTTAGAAGTATTAGATGTAGATTCAAATTTTAGGAATAGTGGGGTGAAAATTTATAAACTCGAAAATAAAATAGTTAGAAATAATCACGATTTAATTATATTTATTTTTTCATTTATATATTGAAACCAAATTAGCGTTTAATTTTGCTTCAAGTAAGACATTCATACTGGAACTGTATTCTCAAAAAAATTGATTTTCCTATAATATTCTTTACATTTTGGATCTTTCACAATAACATATAGAATACATCAATTCATCATTCGATCTAAATCTTTCTCGTTGTTAATGGAAGATTTATTAATAATAATTTGGATAAATATATCTACATATTTTTTATATAATATTCTAAATTTTTTATCTTTTTCTAAATTTTCAATTAGATCTCATATGTTTTTTAAAAATTTTAAAATGTTCAATCCATTCTCTCGATTATAATTTTTTTACTAAAATGTGAAAAAAATATAAAAAAACAAAAATATTTAAAGTCATGTGACCTATTTGTGTCATTTTTTATGTCTTTAGAATTTTATTATATTTCGGTAAAAAAAATTATTTGGTTACAAAAATTGATTGAAAGTTCAGAAACAAATGAGATGAAATAAAAAATCTTAAAACATATAAATTTTTTTTGAGTATTATATAAAAAATAAATAAATCTTTCAGCTGAAAATTTTATTAAAGTTGAAATACTGCCCCGTGTCTTTTGGCTACTATCAGTATTTAACTGCCACAAGATTGCTTCCAGCTTTTAGGCCAGCGATGTAAAATCACGTGGGCCTGACGCTTATATACTTATTATACCAACCAATAATCAAAGCACACGTGTAACTGACCAAATCTAACGGTTCTTGGTTCTGATCCGCTTAACAGCACTCGACTCGGCAATTTTAAAGAAAGGCCAAAATAAGAGAGCCGGCACCACAATTTGGAAGACAAAGCAGAAGGGATCCTGCAATTTATTTTTCTTAAAAGGTTCTTAGGTTAACACCCTCGTCTGTATTTATATAATAAATTAATTTTTCAATTTGTTTTCTAAAAAATTTTCAAATTTATTTTTATATTTTGAATTTATTTTTAATCTATTATTAGGATCGAAATTTTTAATCAATTTTTAAAAATTAATCTTTATATTAATAAATATAAATAACTTTTCATAAATAACAAATACATATTAGAAAATAATTATTTAATTTTTATATTTTAAAATTTTCGATCAACAAAAGTTTTTAATAAACTGTAAAACAGTCCTAGTTTTTTTAAAAAATAATCAATTAGTCTTTTTAATTAAAAAATAATTATTTAATTCTTATATTTTTAAAATTTTCTTGTAGATCATTTTTTTTATTTTTCAATTTATTTTAATTTTTTATTTTATAAAATGAAAAGGTAAGTAAAAATATATATAAAAAAAAGATGAACAGAAAAGTAATATTTTTTGATCGGCTGAATTTTCAGAAATTAATAGTCTTCTGCCACCAGATGCAATAGGTCAACAAAAGGGATACGCTGCATCTTTTTCTTAGAAGGTTCTTTTTTAGTGTTCTCAGTGCTTTCTCATTCAATCCACCTCATATCATGCCCAAAATTGGTTCACATCAATCAGATTAAGTCCAAATATTTCAAATCATTTTTTTAATTTTAAATCATTTAAATTTAAGTATTTGAACTTCAAATTTAGTTTTAAAATTTTTTTATTTTTAATTTTTTTGAGATTTAATTCATTCAATGATATTTAGCTATTATCCGTATCTCTAAAAAATTCAATTAGTTGTATTTTGAGTTGAAATTTTACACACAGAGTTGAGAAAAAAAATCCAATCTATTTTTTGTAAAAAAATCTCAGAATTTTTGAAAAATGAAAAGCATATCTATTGAATATTTAAAATATTAAAAATTAGAAAAAGTACAAAATAATCTAGAATGATCTTAAATTTTTTGAAAAACCTCATCTAAATCTCACTCGAATGATTTACATTATAAAAATATTTATGTGATTTTTATTTTTGGATAAACGACAAAAAAATAAAACAAAATAAATTAAATTTCAAAAAATTAAAAAGTTAGGGAATCTCAAAAATTAAGCTTTGAAGTTCAAAGATTCAATTTTTTATGAATTAAAATTTAGGAAAGTTTCGACCAATTCAGCCTTAAAGTAATTTAATTGCATGTTATAGTATCCATTGCTTATCCTCATTAATAAAGCAATTGCAGACGAAAAAAAAAAACTACCCACGTTCAATTTTTCAGAAGAAAAGAAAAATAGATTTTAAAAACTGCATAAAATCATTGGTTATCTAGACGTGTCAACCTTCGTGATTAAAGGGAGAATTAAGTGAGAATACTTTCACGGGTTGAAGTTTTTCACCTGCTATATCCGGTCTTCGAGCTTTAAGGGCCTGCTTTTTAACGTGTAACAAGTACACGGCAAGAAGAAAAGATTTGTTAGTTTTTTTACATTAAAATAACAATAAGAAGAAGATTGGAGTAGAGTAAATTATAAATTAGTCCTTCTTTTGAAGAAATAAATTAATTAGTTCATTTGATTTAAAATTTTTTTTTTTTGCTATTTTTAATTTATTTTGATTTTTTATTTTAATAAATAAAATAGAATAAAAATATAAAAATATTAACGAGAAAAGGATTAAATGATTAATTTTTTGAAATTATAAGGGCTAATTAATTCTTTTTGTCAAAACGAGAGAGACTAATTTATAATCCACTCAATGGAGCGTTGGATTTTAGCAGAAAATGTTGGCTATGGAACGGGTAACTGGCAGCAAAGTGTCTTCAGTTTCCACGTGTATCCCCTGGAGTTTTTTATTAAAAAAAATCAGGCAGCAAACAGCCTGAATCTGATTATGGTTGCATGTTGAGTGAAAGAAATCCGTGGGCTGAATGATTTTTGGTTAGGCTTGACACGTCAAGAAATTCCAGTGTATAAGAGAGTTATATGGATCTCTTGTCTAGTAAAAGGTTAAATTGTAAAATAACTCCACAACTTTAGTGAAAAAAAAAACAAATATTTTTTAAAACTAAAAAAAAATATTTTGTTTTTTAAATAATATGATATTTAGAAAAAAAATTAGGATTTTTAGTAAAAAAAATTAACCAAAAAACACTTAAAAATCCTAGGTCCTCTATATTTTTTTTCTCTATAAGTAAGTAAACATGTATTTCTAAATTGGAAGGAAAAAAGATAGAGATTGAAGATTTTTTTATAGGTTTGACCGTTAATTTGTCAACAAAACCCTAACAAAAGGAGTAAATTCAAAAACTCATAGAGTATTATTTAGAAAGCAAAATAGAAAAAAAAATATATATATTATGCAGTATGAGCATATAAAAAATAGCCGACCTGGACTTGCATTATCATCGTTTGCTGTTGCCTTCTAGCACAAACCATATATTATATTATCTGGGCTGTGACTTCAAAAATAAAAGTTGATTCCTAAGTTTCGAAGGATTGATCCGTTTCAAACGGTCACCCGACAGCAACAATAATAGACCTCCGCTTGCCATGGTGACCCACCGTGGCTTGTGCTTTGAACCTAACTGGTGCATTTCCGGGTCATGCTCTTGCCAGTCTTGTTAAGTGAATACTGGAGTTTCATGTTAGACTCTTGCAATGGGCTAGAAATTAATCCATTTGGGTTTTCCTAAAAAAGAATAACCCTGGAAATTTTATTTTTATTTTGTGTAAATTAATTCAAGAATACTCTATTTTAAGATTAATACCCTTGTCTATTCTTATATAATAGGTCAGTTTTTTAATATGTTTCTAAATTTATAAAAACCTTGAATTTGTCCCAGTTCGAACTAGTTTATAATCTATCATGTTGGTCAAAATTTTTAGCCAATTTATCAAAAATTAATCTTCATATTAGTATATATAGATTACTTGTATCAAAAAACAAATATAATTTTGTCAAATAAAATGCTTCATTTAGTAAAATTTTTTAACTAAAATGATATATTAGAATCATTTCAAATAAAAAAAACAAATTGGAGGCGTTTTAAAATTTAGAAACTGATTGAAAATTTGACCTATTATGTTAGAGTAGACCGGGATATAAACCCTAAAATTTTAAACAAAAAACAAATAGACCGCAAAAATGCATCTTTTTAGAAGCATCGCTCGAATTTGGATTTTTGCTTCAAATAATAATGATGTTGAATTGACATCAGATAAGTTTAGATTCAAATTACACGTAATAAAAGAATAAAAAAGACTTTCTTCACCGTATAGAATTGCATGTGTGCATGCTTGTATTCGGAAAATAGTGCTAATATTCTAGTTATTTTTTCATTTATATATTGCAGCCAAATTCATTCTGATTTGGATTCAAGTAAGACTTTCATACTAGAATTAATGTATTTTTTAAAAAAAATATTTTTCTTGTAATATTCTCTACGATTTGAATCTATCAAATTATCAGTCGATCTACTAATGATAATTTTACCTAAAATGATAAGGGATTCAACATGCTACAAAATCATTGAATAAATCCTCTAGCTGAAAATATTATTAAAGTTGAAAAACTGCCTATATAATATCATCTAATTAATTAGTTTCTGCCTCATGTCGATTATAGTTGATTTAATATTATTTTATTTAAAAAATATTTTTATTAATTTTTATTTTTTCCTTTTTTATTCTTAAAACAAAAAAAAATTGAAAAATAATAAAAAAGATTAATTTGCAACTAAATCTAAAAGCACAGGGACTAAGCAATATTTTAAAAAATTAAAGGACTTTTTATTTCGTTTTGTAAACCTAAAGGGATTAAATTATAACTTACTCAACAAATTCTCCAGCTGAAGAAATGATTAAAGTTGAAAAACTGCCCATGTCTCTTGGCCACCTCAATATTTAACGGCTGCAAGATTGTTTCCAGCTTTTAGGCCAGCGGTGTAAATATCACGTGGGCCTGACAATTATATACTTATCAAACTAACCAATAATCAAAGCACACGCGTGCCTGACGAAATCTTTTTTAGCAGATCCAACGGTTCTGATCCGCTTGACAGCCCCTCGACTCATCAGTTCAGAGAAAGGCCAAAGGTGGCTTTTTCTCTTAAAAGGGTCGCGCCACCACAATTTGGAAGATGAAACAAAAGGGCTACTGCAGTTTCTTTCCTCAGAAAGTTCTTCTTTAGTGTTTTTGATGCTTTCTTATTTTATGCAACCTAAATTACACCCAAAACTTAGTCTAACAGAGAGTTCATTTTTCGATGAAAAACTAAGTCCGGGTTGATACAATATATATATATATATATATATATATATATATATATATATATAAAGAAAAACACGTTAAATTGATGGTACTATAAGAAAGATGAGGTACTATTTTATTACTATTAATCATTTTGGTGCTAAAAGAATTTTTTCCTATCCCTAAAAATTAATTAATACCCTATTATTTCCTATGATTGTTTTAGTACTATTTACCTTATTTATTGGAACTATAAGAATCCCTTTCAATCAAGAAGAAATGAATTTAGATATACTATCCAAACTCTTAATCTCGTCTCTAAGAGAATTTTTTGGGACAAAAATAATAAATTTGATACATGATTGGTTCTATAATCATAGTTACATAAATATTTTTTATGCAATATCTTTAACAAATGGTATAAAAAGACTGACTAAATTAATTTATTTTTTTGATAGATAAGTAATTGATGAAATTATCGTAAGCTTTACAAGTTTATATATATATATATATATATATATATATATATATATGATGATTCTTTTTTCACTAAGTATTTTGCTGATTTGATTTGAAAAATAGTCCAATTTTCTATCAAAGACTAAACATATTCAAATATTGATTTAGACTTAACATCAATTGAAGTAAAAATTAATTCAAAAATACCTAATTATCTATAAATATTAAAAAAATATATACCGATACAATTTTTTTTTTTTAACGAGTATTTTGCCACTGGCAGCAATAGATCAACGAAAGGGAAGCTACTACTTAGTTTCTTAGAAGGTTTTTTAGTGTTCATGATGCATTCTTACTCGGTGCAACTTTATACCCAAATCTTGATTCATATCAATTAGATTAACTTGATAAAGTTTTTGTTCGGTCATAGCCAAATAATAATAATAATAATAATAATTGTCTCACATCGGTTAAATGCATATGTAGTGTTGAATGTTATAAATACATAACATGCGTATGTATTTGTATTTGTTTGCTTGTTTGAGAGGAAAAATAAAGCAATTGCCGAAGAAATAAAAACTACATGCGTATGTATTCAATGGTTATTGTTCAAATTAGAGTAAGATCTAGACGTGTCAATCTTCATGATAAAAGTAAGATCTGGGTGACAATAGTTTCATGATCTTCAAGTTTTTCCACCTGCTATGCCCGGCCTTTGAGCTTTAAGGACCACGTGCAGCAAGGACAAGCCTAGAAGAAAAGATTTGTTAGTTTTTTATATTAATAAATAATTCAAGAAAGTTGATTTTAGCGAAGGATTTAAATTTTTTAAATAAATGATTTTAATTCAAGTTATTATATATTTATAAAAAATTAAATAATTATGTCTTTTTGTATGTTGGATGTAATAACGAGAATTAATTTGAATTTTAGAAATGAGATACGGTGAAAATAAAAATAATAATAAATTAAGATGAAGTGTTGGATTTTAGCAGAAAACGTTTGTGATGGAACGTGTATAGCCAGCAAACCGTCTGAATCTGATGGTCTGATGACAGATAAAAGAAGCCCACAATTCCAAGTGTTCAGTTTCCACGTGTATTTCCTGGAAATTTTTTAATAATAATAATAAAAAAAACACATCAGGCAGCTAACTGTCTGAATCTGATTCTGTTTGCATGTTCAATGAAAGCAATCCACTGCCGAATGATGATGATGCCCATGATTTTTGGGCAGTCATGAATCTCTAAAAGGCTAAATTGTAAATATTTTTTTTATTTTTTTCTTAGTTTTTTTATTGAAAAATTGATGAAAAAATTCTCTTTTTTTATGTGTGTATTATGCATATTAGTAACATGTTTTACTAAATTAGTAGAAAAAATAGATAGGAATTGTAATATTTTTATAAATTTGACCATCAATTTGTGAATGGAACTTTAATGGAATGAATAAACTAAAAAAGTCATATTATTTAAGAAGCAAATTCAATTTTTTTTATTTTAGTTCGGAGGGGTTACTTTCAAGTTCGAAAAGATATTTTACAATTTATTCTTAATAAATCATCATAATTTGGTTAAAAGAAAAAAAAGTTATTTGTGATTGATTTGATTGAATTATGGTAATTGCATCTTCAGGAAATGTCGTTCTTAATGAGCATCTGAAAACACATTTCTTATTGTTGAAAAGTTTGTAGTTTAATAATAATGATCTTTTATAGAAGTTCATAGGTTTGAATCTCAACAGAATAGTTTGATATTCAAAAAAAATAACTCAAAAAGATTTATTTGAATGAAAAAAAACTATAATTAATTAAATGGTCTCGATTTTAAATTTTTATATATATAATTTTTTTTTAATAACCATATTTATCTTATATGTCCAACCAATTAAAGTTGGTAATTTGAAAAAAAAAAAAATTGGATTTTTTATTTGCATTTTTTAAGTACTTAGATTTGATTCCCATGTTTCAATGATTCTCGTAAATAAATTAATCTTCATGCCATGTCTGAAATGATCTGGCTTTGATGGAAGATCTTTGGAAATATTTTTGAACTCCAAGTTCAATCACCATAAAAAAGAAAGCACGCCCAGAAAATATTAGATGCACAAAGCATGACAAGTTTAATCACTCTTGTCATTAACCAAAAATATATATTTATTCATATCTGGTATAAAGTAAAAAAAAACCCTTTATATTTTTTTTACCGTTGTCAATCGATGTGTTCTTTTTATGTCTTGCAGGTTAATCGTTTTCAATTTATTTTATGTTTTATTTTAAGAAATATAAAAAATAAGTAAAAAAATATGGAAGAATTTTGAGAGAATATAGAATTTTGTAAAATAAAATAATATTAAATTAAAAGTGATCAATATTGGGTAAAAGATTAAATAATTAATTTTTAAGAAAAGATTAATTAATTTTTTTGTACAAACTAGAAGGACTAATTTATAATTTACTCTCTGAAAAAGTCACCTTGACAGCAACAATAAATAGACCGCCGCTTGCCATGGTGACCCACCGTGGCTTGTGCTTTGAACCTAAATGGTGCGTTTCCATTTTCTGGGTCATGTTTATGCCAGTCTTGTTAATCGGATCCAAGAAAGGTGCCTAACTAAAGTCTGGAATTTAAAATTAGAATCTTAGCACGGGCAAGATATTAATCAATTTGAGAAAATGAGAAAGGCTTCAATATGCCTCAGAATATCGAATAATTAGAGTAGATTATAAATTAATCCCTCAAGTTTCAAGAAATAAATTAATTAGTTTCCCTAGTTTTAAAAATTATTATTTAATTTTTTAATCGGTATTAATCATATTTAATTTAATATTATTTTTAGTTCATAAAATCTCTTATTTTTCATCAATCTTTTCATTTTTTTCTTTTTATGTTTCTTAAAAGAAAATCAATTTAAATTAAAAAAGGATAAAAAAGACTAAATTACAAACAAAAATTTAAAATATGGTGACTAAATATTTAGTTTTTCAAAAAAAAAAAAACTAATTAATTCATTTCTCAAAAAAAGGAGCCACTAATTTATAATTTACTCATAAAATGAGATAGGGTTCAATATTGCCCAAATTATTGAATAAATTCAAGTAAATAATAAATTGGTCACTTTAGTTTTGCAAAATATGTAAATAGTCCCTCTAATTTCAAAACTAATCAATTCTTTCCTAACCATTATCAATCATAGTTAATTTAATATTATTTTCATTAAAAAAATCTTTTATCTGATCAATTCTTTCAATTTTTTTTTTAAATTGAAAAGTAACAAAAAATATTAAGTTGCTACTAGATCTAAAAACTTAGGAACTAATTAATTAATTTTTTAAATCATAAGGACTATTATTCTTTTTTAACATACTAAAGGGACTAATTTTTAACTTGCTCAAAAATTCTCCAGCTGAAGAAATGACGAAAGTTGAACTGCCCAAATCTTTTGGTCACTCGATATTTTGGTGCTGCAAGATTGTTTCCAGCTTTTAGGCCAGGGATATGAAAGCCACGTAGGCCTGACAATTATATACTTATCAAATTAGCCAATAATCAAAGCACGCGTGTGCCTGAACAAATCTTTTGAGCACATCTAAGTATCTAACTGTGCAAATCCGTTTAACAACCCTCCCTCGCCAAGTTTAAAGAAAGGCCAAAAGTCGTAAGAGACGCGGCACCGCAATTTGGAAGATAAAACGGAAGGGATACTGCAATTTCTTTTCTTAAAAAATTATTTATATATATATATATATTAAGATATTTTTGAATTAGTTTTTATGCATCATTTTAAAAAAATTATAGATACATCAAAGTTTTTTTTTAATATTCTTAAATATCTTTATATAATAGATTAATTTTTTAATATGTTTTTACAAAAATGCTTATAATTTATCCTTATATTTTAAGTTAATTTTTAATCTATCATTTTAGTTAAATGTTTTTGACTAAATTAAGCATGTGATTTGACAAAATCATCTTTATCAAATAATAAAGATGATCTAAAGATTGATTTCTAAAAAATTATGAAAAGTTTTGACCAGAAGAATAGATTAAAAATAACTTAAAATATAATAACAAATGGGATTCATTTTTATTTTAGATAAATTGAAAACTTGGTTTATTATATAAATACAGTAGAACAGGATATTATTATTTTTTCCCCCTTTTTAACGAGTCCTTTGTCGCAGGTTGCAAAATTTGTTACGTGTCAATTACAATATTTTGATTGACTGCTACAATGTTCATAACACAATTAACAAAAAAAAAAAAAGACTAATTCTCTCACATCAGTTACGTGTATAAATACAGTTGACTGTACGTAATAAATACATGATATCTGCCTATTTTAATCTATATCTATTTAAAAGTTG